TCCCTCGCTTCCAATAGATGCTATTCTATCACTATTTTATTGCTATTTAATGACGGATAAACTTCCATCGCTAATTTCCATCACTATTTGATGATTTTTTCTTTTGTAGTGCTTATTTCTCCTCAATTTTTAAAAGTCTCTAACCTTTCGGATTCGATACACTACAATGTATTTCGACACACTTCAATAATCATTAATAAAAAAAAAGATGAAAAATTTTGAATTAAAGTTCGGAAAACATAATCTATACATTTTGAGATAATGCTAATTTAATTATTCACAAAAAAAAAAATTTGTTAAATTGTTTGTAATTCTTTTCTATCATAATATTTCCAATTTTTCTATTTACATTGAATTTATTGGTGAAGTCATCGATGAACTTTTTCTATGTTATTTTTTGAATAATTGAATATATATATATATTGTTTGTAATTTTTTTCTATCATAATATTTCCAATTTTTCTATGTAAATTTAATTTATTGGTGAAGTCATCGGTGAACTTTTTCTATGTTATTTTGACTAAATGAATTCGCATATATAATTTTAACCTTAAAATTATAACGTGATATTTTTTAACACAAATAAAAATATTTACATAGATATATTTATGTGTATAAATAAATAAATATAGAAATGTGATAATTTATATGAAACAAATGAAACAAAAAGGAACTTCGACGCATAGAACGGTAGCTCTCTACCAACAAAAATGTTAGGCCAAACTATAGTTTGGAGAAAACTTAGGCAATTGCATGCTGCATATAAAAAAAAAAGCCAAAAAATAATAGAATAGGAGACCAAGTGTTCCAAGAATAAACAAGAGCTTGAAGAAAATTTTTTTGAGAAAGCCAAATGAATCTACACTATTCCGTACTAACATACCATAACTTATGTTTGACTAGATCCTAATAAACACCGTAATTTTCCATATTCCAAACATAACTTATCAAAAGAGGAAACTTGATGAAATGTATAGTTAGTTGCGAGTGAGTACTAGTTAATGAAAAGATCGGTTATCCAACTAGAAAACATTCTATTTGAGAATGAGCCTAATTGGTTCTCAAATCCTCGCTTAACTATCATGATGGGACATGGAGACCTTATCCAAAAAGGTAATTAACCATTTCTTTTCTAAAGAAGAAACATGACAAGATAGGTTCCGGTTGTCCTAAAACAAGTCAATTAATCTTCATATTAAAGTTTTTATTAAGCTTTGAAGTAAATACATGTGTTTACTTAGTTGGTTTTCTTCTAACTAGTAGCTTACTAACAATGATGGATAGAAGCACCGATAATGGAGAAGGTCTCCTCTATTGTGGCAACGTGGATAGTAGAGGTCGTTTCTCAATTGGTTTGTATAGCTAGGGTTATAAAAATATATGAGAGCTATATAGTCATATTTAAAAAGTTTTAAAATTTTTTCAAGTAAGCGTGTTAATCAAAAAGTTTTAAGTTAAAAAATTTAACTTACCTAATTAAATGAATTTTGACTGAATTTAAATTTTAAATATGAGATTATTTAGATTATCAAATAAACTTTTTATATTAAGTACTACAACGTAATTATTTAAGTTATTTGAATAGGTTATCAAACATACCCTTAGTTTAGTTATAACAAATACATTATATTTACAAGATGTCATGAATTTAAATTATTTATTGATTCATTTTATCAATAGAAAAAAAATTATATGCAAAACATGTGTACATATACAAAAAAATAAAAAAATAAAAAAAAATTCAATAATGTAGGCATGACAATGACGTATAACATCCTAATATGTATACGCTTACCCATTTTTAAAAACTAACCTATTAATATTCTCAAAATTAAGAAGAAAAAAAACTCACATAAATTTTTATTGTCTACTAACGAGTTAAATATGATTTAGGTATGCATGATAGACCCATGTACTTTTTTTCTCATATTTGCTCGTCAAAATACAAATTTACTAGTATAAAGACAATACAATTCCAAATTGGTGATAGGGTCGTGGCCATTCCTTGATTAGCAAATTCAATTTCCCAATGTTGAAGTAGGAACTAGCAATATCCATGGTAATAATAACTAATCAAAACTAAAAACGAGAAAACTAACCTTGTCAAAATCCCGACAAGATGCATCACAAAAAGAAATGATTAGCCGGATAAGAGTTTTGTAGTCATCGGGTGGAAGAGAAGGTAGCTAAAAGAGGTTTTTGCGATCGGCGACATAGGTGAAAGAGGAGGCAAAAAGAGGGAGCGAGGACAAGAAATGGAGGAAGAAGAAAGGATTGTTAGATTTAGGCTTTTTTTAGCAACATACGTGATTTCGTCGCTACCCATAAGTGTCCATCTTAGTTTGAATTTCCCAAAATGGCATAACTTTTGCTCCTATTGGCAACGAAATATTCCATTGCTAAATTTGGTTAATTTACAAATGAATATCAAGTTTAATGACGAAATATTCCATCTTCAATAAGAGAAAACATGGCCCTAAAATTATCGACGGACTTTATGATCCATCGTTAAATACCATTGCAAATTAGGTGGTAATCTATCACCGAATTAACTACCAAAAATTAACCACCTTATTCAACAATGAAATTGTTTCTTCGTTGAATTTACATCATATATTAGTCGATATTCGTCGCAAGTAACTCCAAATGTTTGAAAATTGGCAATAGTCATTACTTATACGCTAATCTGTTGTTGTATACCGACAACTTAATGTTTGTGTTTGATTTTTGTCATTATTTAGCTGTTTTTTATAGTGTTTAAATTTCTCATGTTTATAGAAAAATCAATTGTATTTCATATTAGCTTGCTTTTCTTGCGTATTCTCTTTCGCTAGAAATTTCTTATCATTTAAATGTTCCTTTAAAGTGTATTAGTCTATTGTTAGAAGATATATGTGGAGTTACAAATCACCAACTATGTGACATGTACAAATTTGTCTAGACTTTTGCTTTTTTGTTAAAAAAGAAAAAAGAAAAAGAGTTATTGGAAGAAGTTAATTAATAAGTGTGATTGTTAACATTCTAACTATATTGATATTTATCTATTTTAATTTAAATACAAAAATTATATTTATAAACAATTGTACTCTGTTCAAGTATTGTTTAAAAAACTATAAATGAAACATTTTATTAGAAAAAAATGTTTAGTGCAAATTCTCCTTCTACTTTCTCTTTTGATTCTCAATGAGTATTTAAATTTTTAAGGGTGTGGTTGTATCTTGAGGCGAGCAATATTCGATTTAAACCAAAAAATTAAATCAAAATTTCAATTTTGATTTGATTTAAACTCAAAATTAAAAAAAAAAAAAAAACCAAATTTATTTTGGTTTTTTCGGTTTTGGTTGGTTTAAACTAAAAATCAAATTTTTTATATTCTTTTTTTATTTATTTTTTAAAATAATGTAAAAAATCAATACTTTAATATTATTATAGATATATGATGGATTAGTAATGTTTTGGGTGACATGAATAATTTTTTTAATTTTTATTTGCTTGATATATGAATTTTTTAAATTTGAATATTTTGAGAAATGATTTATTTTAATGGGTGTTTCTTTTTTTTTTTTTTTAAATAGAGAATGCGAAGAATTTAAAGTTAACGGATCATTGGCTTGTGTGTCCATATGGTTGGAATATCTTAATAATTAATATCATGTCTTTTTTTCTTTAGTACTATCAATTATATTCTTTTTATTTGCTAAATGGATTGTATTTCTATTAGGGATAATAAAATTAATGGTTTATTTAAATAAATATTTATTATCTTTTATGTAGACTAATTTAGATTATTTGAGATAGAGGAGGGACTCCATAGTCCATAAAATTATTTTATTTTATTTTTTTACTTAATTTTAAAATTTTTTAAAAGAAAACAATTCGAATTTTGTTTATTTATTTGATTAGTTGAAAATCAAAGTGAAAAAAAAAAACTGAATTCTCACTAGTTCTTACATCCTAAAGATATTATTTAACTCCGTTAGGTTTACATTTCCTCAATGTTCAATCAAACATATTGTTAGAGAATGTATATCACATTAAATAAATAAATAATAAATGAGTAATATATAGAGCTGAGAAGTTGATCGGTTGGATTGCTTTTTTTTTTTTTTTTACTATAAGTTATATTTTATTTTTATGTGATTTGAAGGATGTATATATTACATATTAATATGGTTTATTTAAAAAAATAAATTCTTCTAAATACTATTTTTAACACTCAAAACTTAAAAAATTAATAAATAAAGTACTTTTTTTTCACTACTAAAACAATCCTTGAGATTGTTGACATGCAACTTTAGATTTCTGATCTCTTTCTGGTTCCAACTTCCAAGTAGTATTATACATATATCTGCGAGTTGCACATTTAATGATAATCACGGCACTTGATAAGACATATATTAATATATAGGCCAACCAATAGGATTCGCATTTAAAAGCTCACCCACTATCATAAATAAGTGCAAACTTTACTGTTTACGTAAAAAATCACCTTGTATCAAATAAATACATGGTTTGGTAAGTTCATTGTACTTATGCACCAATTAAAAACGAAAGCAAATCTTTTTACTGGTTTTGTACGTACTTGGGTGATGTTTTAAAACTAAATTCACACTTATGAAAAAAAAAAAAAAAAAAAGGGCGAAATGGGACAGGGGGTTTATAAAAATTTGCACTTCCAAGAGTGCTTCGAGATTAAATCCCTTACAGCTAGATAGAATGAAAATCTTTAATCATATTACCAACCAATAAATGCACAACAGGTATAGAATTGATCTGCATAAGAAAAGCATCACCTTATTGCACCAAGCACAATTAATCGCAGAGAGCCCGCATCTATTAATACACCAAGCACATGCTTGATGACTCAAGATGATTTTGGTGACAAACCACATCCTTGAGATTACAAAAATGCCATTCTGATCTGCTATAAGAGGAACTGGCTGCCTAGTTTTATGTCAAACCCTAGTTAGAAAGACAAGCTGAAGTTAATGTCCTCTCCTATGGAATTGTCATTTTTTCTCTCTCTTTGCCTGCTCTTCTCAATATCCATCATTGCCCAATCTACGGTCCCTCCAAATTCCACATTTAAGTATGTCAATGATGGAGAATTTGGGGAATTCCTTACAGAATATGGTGCAACTTTTCGTCCACTAGATATAAGTGAATCTGTTTTCCAACTTTTCTTTTACAACACCACCCCTAATGAATACACTCTCGCTATACGTATGGGTACTAGGAGGTCTGAATCGCTAAGGCGTTATGTTTGGGAAGCCAACCGAGGAAACCCTGTTCGTGAAAATGCCACTCTCACATTTGGTGAGGATGGAAACCTTGTCTTGGCGGATGCTGGTGGCAGGGTTGCCTGGCAAACCAACACTGCCAACAAAGGTGTTGTAGGCTTGCGGATGTTACCGAATGGTAATATGGTGCTTCATGACTCCAAGGGCAACTTTATCTGGCAGAGTTTTGACTCACCTACTGATACCCTGTTGGTGGGTCAATCTCTTCGAGTTGGAGGCGTAACAAGGCTTGTGAGTCGAGCCTCGGAGTAAAAGAACTCAAATGGAGCCTATAGTTTGGTACTAGAACCCAAAAGAATAGCCTTGTATTATAAGAGTCCAAACACTCCCAGATCATATATCTATTACACATCTGACTGGTTTAGCGTAGATAAAGGTCGTATACAATATGTGACCCTAAATAGCACCCCTAATACTGATGACAATTTCAATGACCTCCTTCTTGAGTTCTCTACTGGTTCTGTAACCTTGCTCTCGAGGCCCAAATACAACAGCACATTGTCATTCCTTCGACTTGGGATTGATGGGAATCTTAGAATCTACACTTTCAACGATTTGGTACGCTCGCGTTCTTGGGAAGTGACTTTCACTCTTTTCTCTAGAGAGGTAGGTATTTGGGAGAGTGAGTGCCAATTACCTGAGAGATGTGGTAAGTTCGGGCTTTGTGAAGACAACCAATTTGTTGCTTGCCCATTGCCGAGTGGACTCATGGGCTGGAGCAAAGGCTGTGCACCCGTGAAGCCACCTCCCTGTCGTTCTAAGAATTTCTATTACTATAAACTAGAAGGTGTTGATCATTCCATGAGCAAGTATGCAAGTGGCAGTGGACCAATGAAGGAGGATGATTGTGGAAAAAAATGTTCAAGTGACTGTAAGTGTTTAGGTTATTTTTACAACAAAGATTCATCCAAGTGTTTGATTGCTTATGATCTCCTAACCCTCACTAAGGTTCCAAATTCTACGCATGTGGGTTACATAAAGGCACCAAAGCACTAAGGAAAAGCTCGGCCTGCTGGCTTATACCTCAGATTTTTAAGTCGTCCAGTATAATGAAGTGTTATTGTTCGCAATAATTGAGCTTGTAATTTATTTTGATATTGTTCTTATTTTCCAGTGTTGCGGAGTTAAAATTGTACACAGCTTAATAAAGACAAGGCAAATGAATGCTAGCTTCATTTAGTGTCTGTTTGGTCTAAAAATTGTCTTTGTTTTCCAAGGTCTCCACGCAAAACTAAATAATTGACACTTTAGTATCTGTTTGGTCTCAAAAGCTCCTTTGCTTTGACTCGTCCAGCTAATAAAAGTGTTTGACAACAAACTTAAATTTCATCTTTTAACTTAGGATACATTACCTTGGACATATTGTAGTTTAAGCGTAATAACACACTGTATATCGATATTTTATAAGTTACAGCGTGTATTCTATAGTTTTTATGTCCATCTTCACTTAATATGCTATAATGCAAAACCGTTTATACATCCCACTTGGTCTTAGTTTCCGTTAAAAAACATAAAATTTATCATAAAGTATAATTAAAAAATATTTTTATGATCAAATTACTCTCATGTGTATAACATGACGAAATTAAATACATCCAATTATATAAGCACAACAAAAATTAATAGATTACATACCTCATGTTATGATTAAGTGCTTAAGTAATTGTTAAAAAAAAAATTGGTCCATCACATTTAAGAAAAAAAAATCCTCTAATCTATGCCAATAATTTGGGATTTTATGCGTGTTGATGGATGACTTAGGACTTAACTAAATATTTATATGACTAGATTTTTTTTTCTTTAATCTAATTTTGTACTTTCATTTATTGTGAATGTGCCTAATCCACTACTAAACATTTAATAGTTATTTATAAATTTAAAATAAGAAATGACACATGGGTCACACTAAGGGACATTTTTTAAATTCTCCCACTTGACCCATCTTGGAAAAAATGACCCGAATAGATAATAGGTAAGGGTCTGTGAAGAGAGTGTTTTCAAGTGAAATGTTTATCCCACATTGAAAATGAAAGAAAAGAAGAGGCATTTTATAAGTAGAACTCTTGTAAATATTTCCAATTGGAAGGATTTGAAGGAAACTCTAATTAGATGAGGGAAGCTATATATATATATATATATATATATATATGCACACGTACGCAATGTGTGATTAATTAATTAATTATGTTTTTCTATAACGGTTAATTAATTTCAAAAAAAAAAAAAGAATATGATTGTTAAAAAGTAACCGTTAGTCATTAAATCAAACTGATTTTTCAATAGTCATATTAGTTATGAAAGGCTTCTAGTAATCTATAAATAGAGGTCTACTGCTGAAAAAATAATTAATTCTTTCTTTTGCAATTCTCCTCCTCCTTCTCTCAAAACTCTTCTTTTCATAAATTCTACAGACTTTAAGAGAAATTTTCTTGAAGGAATTTCGGGAGTGTTATCTATAATTCGTTAGATGCAAAGTTAAACCCTTGAGGTGAATTTCCATGATATATGTAGCAATAATCACTTTAAGGATAGTATAAAGATATTTTTTTACACATAATTAAGCATTTTGTTCTCTTGCTTTCATCTCCAAATTTTTGCAACTCAATTTTATCAATTCAACAATCTTAAAGTGACTATTTTGAAGATAAAAACAAGGGTAAAAAGTTCATTTCAACTAATGGATCAAAATATGGTGAAACTGGATTGCTTTGATGGAATGAATTTCAATCGATGGAAGGACAAAACTATGTTCATGCTTACTATAATAAAGGTTGCTTATCTATTACACCTAAAGTTAGAGGATATCTCAAAACCAAAGGATGATGATTCCGAACAACTCAAGGCTAACAAAGAGAGAAATGTATTATTGATGAAGTATTGTGTAGAGATCACATTCTTAACACATTATCATATCAATTATATGATCTCTTCATTGTATTTTAGTCATCAAAAGAAATCTAGAATGCATTGGAGTTCAAATACAATGCTGAAAAACAAAGAGCAAATAAGTTTTTACTTATGAATTTCTTTGAATTTAAAATGGTTAATAATTTATCCGTTATGGATCAAATGCATGACTTCTCTATTATGGTATCAAAACTGAAAGAGTTTAAAATTTAGATTTTTGAATCACTACAAGTATGAGTTATAATTATAAAATTACACTATAGTTGGAATAATTACAAAAAGAAAATACTTCATACCACTGAAGATTTAACTTTGAAACAATTTGAGAAACATCTTAAGATTGAAGAGAATACTTGAAATTTGTAAAGAAAGATTGTTCACACTTTTTCCAAAGTGAATTATGTGGATGACAAAAAGCCAAATTCGGGAGGAAAGAAACATTCTAGAGAAAACAATTCTTGAGGAAAGAAAAGAAATTTTCAAGAATTCTCTAGCTCTAATACAAAAAAACAAAAAAAAAAAACAAAAAAAAAAAACCAAGACCAATAAGTCTTGTTATCATTATGGGAAAAAAGGTCATTTAAAGTGTGATTGTCAATACAACAAAAAGCTAAAGGTAGAAATTACCAATGTTATAAATATGGTCAAAGATGAAAATACAATTGTTGCAATGATTTCGAATTGCACATTAGCATGATCACATAATTGAATATATTTACTCGCAACAAAGACTTTTGATTAGTGATATGATTCTGGTGCTACCATCCTATCTATAACAATAAGGCTCAATTCTAGACTTTAGAGAAGGTAGTTGAAGGATATGAAGTGATGATGAGAAATAATGTCACTTCAAAGGTTCTTGATAAAGGCACTATTGAAATATCATTTACTTCCGAAATAAGTTAATGCTAGTAAATGTTCTATTTGTTTCTAAAATTAAAAAAAAATCTTATATTTGTAAATCTGTTGTGTAAGAAGGAAATTAAGGCTATTTTGGAGTTTGATAAATTGTATTCTCTAAGAATGGTGCCTTCATAGGTAAATGGTACTCTTGTAATAGCATATTCAAGCTCGGTACTATTAATAATATGAATGATTATGCTTATATTGTTGGCTCTCTTTCTTCTTATTATGGAATGATAGATTAGCACATGTTAATTTCAATTATATTAAATATATGTCAAAACATAGTTTGATCTCTTGCAATAGTACTATTAATGAAAAATGTGAAATTTGCATACAAGTAAAAATGACTAAGAAACCTCCTCCTTCAATTGAAAGATCTTTTATCAAATTAGAAATTATTCACTCAAATATATATGAATTAAATGGAATTTTAACTAGATGAGGTATTTTATTACTTTCATTGATGATCATTCTAAATATACTTACGTGTATTTAATGAAAACTAAGGATCAAGCATTTGACATGTTTATGTGTTATAAATATAAAGTTGGAAATTAAATAAAAAAGAAGATTAAATTCTTAAGAAGTGGTAGGGTTAAGAATATTTCTCTATTGGTTTTTCTTCTTTTTGTGAGGTTAATGGAATTATACATGAAATAAGTGCACCATATAACCTATAACAAAATGACTTTGCTGAAAGAAAAAATAAAACACTAGTTGAAATGGTGAATGCAATAATTTTAAATGCTAAATTACCTAATGATTTATGGGGTGAAGCATTGTTAACAAGCATGTCATGTACATATTAGGATACCTTTTAAGAATTTAAAGTTTCGCTATATGAATTATGAAAAGAAAGAAAATCAAATCTAAGTTATCTCGCAGTTTATGGTCGTCCGACCTTTTGTAGAGTCACGAATCCTAAAAAAGTCAAGTTAGGACCAAAAGCTCTAAAAAGTATTTTTGTGGGATATGCTCAATATTCCAAGGCATACAGATTATTGGATCTAGAGTTAAATGTGATAGTGGAATCAAGAGATGTTGATTTTATTCAACATAAATTTGCCAATAATTCCAATACTACTACACAAACATATGAACAAACTTATCCAACTCGGTGAAAGGAAATCTTTTGATATTGCTAGTGAACCTAAAAGAAGTCAAAGGACTAGAAAAAAAATCTAGATTCAGATTTTATTTATTCATAGTCTATTATCTTTCTAGTTGAAGCCGATAGGAAATCAATACTTAATAAAATGCTCATTTCATTAAATATAGAAGAAGATCCTAAAACCTAAGAGAATAGCGACGAATAAAATTTTTATCGCTATTTTGGGGGGATTTTTCCCTCCCAAATCTGCTAATTAGTGACGAAATCCTAATTCCGTTGCTATTTTAGGGGGATTTTTCCCTCTCAAATCCACCAATTACCCTATAAATACCCCCTCCCCTTTCATCTTCCCCATTCCTCTCCCTTTCCTCTACCAAATAACCATGCCGCTCCATACCACCAAGTTGACTCTCCAAATCGTTCAACAAAGTGAGGTGCATCTTTGTCCCTCAAAATCAAACCAGCTTATGTTCTCTTTATCTCTCGGGTAAAACTTTCTCTCTCTAACTCTTATGTTTTTTTTAAATTAAATAAATATTGTAAATTTCATAGATTAATTTTGCTATTTGTTAGTTGATTAATTATCTGAATTTTGTTAATTTTATTGTTATGTTAATTTTTAATTATCTTACGTTGTATGTTAATTATTAGTGTAAATTTCTTAATTGTTTATTTAATTTTCTTAACTCGTTAGATTAATTTTGTTAAATGTTATTTTTTTAGTTATGTTAATTTTTAGCTTAATTTTATGTTAATGTAAAACCAAAAAATGGTTTAATTATGTTAATTTTTTAGGTTTAATATTATTAATGTAATTTTTTACGTAATTTAGTTTAGGTTCATTTATAGTTAAATTAAAAAAAAAAAATTTATGTAATTTAGTTTGGAAATTAAAAAAATTAGAATAAAAATATAATTGGGATATAAACATAAATTTAAAATTTAATAAATATTTTATTAATTAATAAAATTTAATAAATATTTTATTTAGGATTAATTAAATTAAATTAAGTTGAATTTATTATTAAATTATTTAGGAAAATTTAATAAAAATAAATGTTTTTAGCTTAAA